TGAGCTGAAGAGCTGAGGGACAGCGCCCAGGCCCAGAGTTCAGGCCCCACGACCAGATCCCCGCCCAAAAAAGAGTCTCATGGACTTTCCTGCCTGGGCTGGCTTTGAACTGTGATCCTGAGTAGCTGGAATTACAGGTGTGAGCCACTGGTGCTTAAAATAATTCTTATACTGTGTTTGGGTACTTCTGACATTTTCATAATTTATGATATATCTCCACATCAGGTTACTGATGTGTTAATTTTTAAATAATTTTCTTCATATGCAAATGTATACATGTCATATTCTTCAAGTACAAAAATAATAGTGTACAAAATCAGTATTAATACTGATTTTTTATTTTAAGTTCTTAAATTTTCTTAAAAAATATTAAATACTAAGGATGAACCCCCCCCCCAGTTGCCAATGAAACATCAGAAAAGACAGCTAACTGAAAACTAGGACTTCTCAGGAAAGTGTTACAATAGACATTTCATCATTTTCTATGACGAAATTTTTACTTCCTTATTTTGTGTCTGTGTATCTCATGTCTGTATTTTGCCAAGCATGCTACATGACTGAACTTCTCATTAAATCTCTGTGAGTCATTTAATCTAAAAGGACTTAAAACTCCAAATTCCTTTACTAACAGCTGTGCCTGATGCCAACATTATCAAAACCTACCTATAGGGAAAAAAAGTTGAAATTTCACTTATTAGTTCCACCCTCAGTAACAAAAAGACACAATAAAATAAAAATAATGGCATAACCAAAACAGGAACATAAATATCTATATATTGTTACATTTATCCATATATCCAAATAATATCTACTGCCCTGTTTCAGAACTCAATTACCAAGTTAAAATATTCAAAATTATAACTTCCTGACTACTATCATAATATGACATATCATTAATTTCAGCATAACATCTATATGGTACATTTATTTTTTTGAATACAGGGAATGGCACAAGCTAAGCTCATGCTCTATCACTGATCTACGTTCCAAGACTCAGATAATACTTTTCAAATTCATGATCCTGTAACCTGCCCTCCCAAGTGCTGTGATCACAGACCTGGACCACCACACTCAGATTATCTTAAATTTTATTATTGAATACCTTCCCATTGTATTTCCAGCTATAATTAAATGTCCATCCTAATCCCATATTATAGTTCTCAAAGTCCAAAATCTATGTTATTATTTCTAAGTAATTTCTGTAAAAATTTTATAATCTATTTTACTAAGTAGTCTTTTGAGGAAGTAATGTATTTTTCTTTTTCATTGAAAATAGATTAGGATCTAAATAAAACACGTCAATTTTTGATACATAAAGCAAATTTATTGCAAGTCAATTTTCGATACATAAAGCAAATTTATTACAATTTATCTTCCATTGCACTCTGTGCCAGTCACTATTATTTTCCATCTTCTTTCCTCCAATCTCCCAAGCAATTAATCATATTTATTAATTACATAAGATGCTTTTTCTTAAGACTGTGTATTTTCTAGTCTAAATAATATTAAACCTTATTGTAAAAACATTTGATAAAATATTTCGCTGTTTATAGAGAATAATTATTTTCTAAATCCAAAGGTCATTATAAAAATGGAAAAAAGGGGCTGGGAAGGTGGCTCAGTGGTAGAGTGCTTGCCTTGCATGCATGAGGCCCTGGGTTCGATTCCTCAGCACCACATAAGCAAAAAGAAAAACAAGCAGGAAGTGGTGCTGTGGCTCAAGTGGTAGAGCACTAGCCTTGAGCTGAAGAGCTGAGGGACAGCGCCCAGGCCCAGAGTTCAGGCCCCACAACCGGACCCCAAAAAAAAAAGGAAAACAGCTAGGCACTGGTGGTTCATAACTGTAATCCTAGCTACTCAGGAAGCTGAAATCTGAGGACTGAGGTTTCAAGCCAGCCCAAGTAGAAAAGCCTGTGAAATGCTTTATCTCCATATGACCAGCAAAAAGTCAGAAGTAGAAGAGTGGCTCAAGTGTTAGAACACCAGTCTTGAGCAAAAAAGCTAAGGGGGAGCACTCTGGTCCTGAGTTCAAGCTTCAGTATTGGCACACACACACACACATACATACATAAATATGTATACATACAACACACACACATACACAGAGAAAACAAGGGAGGCTCAGTGGTAAATCAGGTGCCTAGCAGGCTCCAGATCCTGAGTTCACATCCTCAAATACTTCCCAAAGACAAGAAATGAAAAAAACAATTTTATTAATGTTAATTTATAAAGTTGGTAGCAAAATGAAGCCTCACATTTACTAGCAGAGATTTTTTTTCTTAAAGGATGAACGCAAACCTAACAAATACTAATACTTTAAAAGACACTTTAGCTGGGTGCTGGTGGCTTACCACTGGGATCCTAACTACTCAGGAGGCTGAGATCTGAGGATCTCAATTCAAAGCCAGCCAGGGTAGGAAAGTCCATGAGACCCTTATCCCCATTTAATCACCAGAAATGGAGTTGTGGCTCAAGTGGTAGCACCTTGAGCAAAATGAAACTCAGGGACAGTACCTAGGCCCTAAGTTCAAGCCCTAGGAATGACACATACATACATGCATGCATGCATACATGCATGCAAACATACATACATACATACATAAAACAAAACTTTAGTTCAATCCCTGGTAACCCCTATACAACACCAGATAAGTGAATGGTTTAAAATCTCAAATATCTGAAAAACTTGGTTACCCTTAGGTAAAGGGGGTAGTAGAGTATAAAAACTTAGCACAGCACAGTGGTGGTCATAATCTCAACATTTGGGAGCCTGAGGCAGGAAGCTTCAATGTTTAAGGTTAGAGTGAAACAAAGTGTAGCTTGTCTCCAAAAAGAAAAGAGGAACTCCTATTTTTCCTATAATCATTATATAATTATGATTCTCCATTATAATTAGTACTCACTCAGTAAAACCCAACACTGACAGTAGGGTATATCCAAATCCCAAATGTATTGCAAAAAGATGTATATTTGATTATAATGCTACATGATGTCATGTATCCAGGACAACTGAAGCATTATGGTCTCTTAGGGATAACACTGTCTCTTGGTCATAGATTTAGGTGACACAGCATGTGATCCATTGTCTCAAAACAAAAAAAAAATGTGTGCAGCTGCATTTTCTAGGGTGGGGGAGAAGGAAGCAGAAAACAAAGGGTACAAAGATTTATCTCATGGAAAAACTGCTTCTGAAATGAGGGCTAAAAAGGAAATAAAACTGAGTGTGTGTGGGGGGGAACCTTTCACCAACCCATGCTAAAAGCAGCTATCACTAAAACTGGAGGAAAAAAAACAAACTGGAGAGAGAAAAGTAAATCATATGTCACTGAACCCGCTTTTCTCCTACCTAATTTACCCAGATACTCTTGCAAATCCAAAGTTTTGTAATTTTGTACCTTTCCTACACAGAAAAAGAGTTCCTATCCACTGTTACAAAATTTGTCTCCAAAACAATGTGGCAGTTGTTCACCAGAATCTTGGTAAAGTTAAAAAGTAATAATTTGATAAGCTAGAAAAGAAACATCACTGCTTCTTACCAGTAAACAGAAAAAAAGATACTTTCTGTATAAAGAACAAAAAGGCTTTATTACAATGAATAGCATACAATTCTACTTTACACAGAATACAGATGTCAAAAAGCAATATCACAAAAGATCTAAATTGAATAAAAATTGCTTTCTCCAATAAGAAAAGTGGTTGTTTCTAGGCAATGTTTTTTAAAAGTTGTTAACAAATAATAATATAATTTGTAAACTTTTACTATTCCCTAAGATAGCAATTTTCCCTATGCTATTAAATAATAGAAAGAAAAGCCAGGAGTAGCGGTGTCTGTAATCTTACGCACTCAGAAGGTTAAGGCAGAAGAATTGCAAGTTTGAGGTCAGTCTAGTAAAGAAGAAAGGGACAAAAGGAAGAGAGGGTGGCAATAATGGCTCTCAGAATAAATCTAGTTTAGAGAATCCACTTTCTCAATTTGGGATTGCAATCAATTCCATATCTGAACAAGAATATGTAAAAGACAGGAAAAGAAAAGAAAAAGGGAGGGAAAACCCACCTGGATAACACAGAAATTAAAAAAGAATGAAAAATAACTAGGAGGAAGTATAACATACCATGCAAATCAGATGGTACCCAGTTAGCCAATCAGCACTGTAACTTTTTGACAGCTTACAATACTTGAAAAGTAACACTTGAAAGGAAGAAAATTAACCTGGTGTGGTGGTGTCTGCAATCTTGTGGGAAGCTGAGGCAGGAGAACTGCAAACTTCACTCCAGCCTGGGATACATACCCAGACCCTGTCTCACAAAAAACTGAGGAAGAAAAAAGGAATAAAAAAGAAAGAAAAATTAAGGAAATCTTAAAAAATAAAAAATAAACATCTAATATCCTGCAGTTCAAGGGTAAATCTGGTTGGCATTTGAACAAATGGTATTCTTTGTCTTCAGAATTTATGCTTATGATTTTAATACATTGAATATCATGCAATAAATCTCCTGCAGCCAATTAAACTTCTCCTCTGAAAATAGCATCTAAAGCACAAACATTGTAAGAAATAAATCTAATAAAGGTGAACAATAAAATCTTACTAAGAGTGATCAAACTTGACCCAAAGCATAAAACTAAGAAACATACTGATTGGTTCAATATACTAATTTTATGTAATTCTAAAATCAAAAGCATGATTAACACAGAATTATACTGATTTTAGCTAATCTATATATACTTTAACAAAAACACACTTATGACAAAATTATTAAATATATTTATCCTACTAAACAGAATAACCCCAAACATTATAAAGTAAACCACAATGAACATTTAAGTTTCAAAATAAACTTACATGGAATATAACCTAAATTCTAAGAAGCTATATCTACTTCAGCTCCATATAATAAGCAATCTAATAAAAATCTGATAATTCTCTTTGATAAGGAATATTGGAAAGGAAAATAGATGGGGTTTTTGTTTTGTTTTGGAGTGAGGTGAGTGCTCACAGTATCATTTTGTTTTCTTTTACCTGTTGGTTCAATTTCATATGCTTTGGAGATATCTAAGGAGAATAAGCATTTGTGATTTCCATGGTCTATCAGGAAATTGGAGTAAAATAAGTATGGTCGGTCATGGGGCTTGAACTCTGGGCCTGGGCGCTGTCCCTCAGCTCTTCAGCTCAAGGCTAGCACTCTACCACTTGAGCCACAGCGCCACTTCTGGCCTTTCTGTTTAAGAGGTGCTGAGGAATCAAACCCAGGGCCTCATGCATGGGAAGCAAGCACTCTACCACTCACTCAGCCACCTTTCCAGCCTGCAGATAAATTTCAGAATGGTTAAATCCCCCAGATCTCAAATCTGTATCTTACTGTTATAACCACACAGTCCAAGTAATCATGACTTTTAATTTAGACAGCTAAATAGGTACTATACATAAATGGAAACTCTAATATACAGTAAACTCTGACAGTATCTTCTCTAACTTTACTCCCCTTACATCCAAGTTGCTCATAATATGTCTAAAGCAATCATTTTGAAGATAAATCTGGTAATGGCCATTTCCTGCTTAACTCATCAAAGTGCCCTAAGGTCAAAATCTTCAACATGGTGTACAAGACCGTGCAAGATTTAGCCACTGTCCAACTTCTCTGACCATGTTTGTTTGTTTGTTTGTTTAACCACTGTTTCCTTTATTTTCTACCCTTTACAAGTCTGAGTAAAGCATGTTTTTTCCTCTGTCAGGGCCTTTACAACCAACCTTTTATACCACCTAATTCTGGTTAAGTGCTCTTTATCATTCACATCTCAGCTTTAGAATCTTAAGAAATTTCTAGTATCTCAGGCTAGCAAGGTTCCCAGTTCAATTCTCTTGCAGCACCTTATATTTCTGTAATATTTACCACACCCAGAATGGTTTAATATACACCTTTCCTGACAGGCTGAAATTTCAAAAGGGCAGGGCCATCTTACTTGGTTTACTGCTCAAATATTTGTTGTCTGACAGATCTTGGTTCTAGCTCTGCTATTTTAACTTTGATGTCTATAAAACCAGAAGACTAAGTATCACTGCAATAATCTAAATCCTAACCAAAATGAAATTTGGGTGGTTCATGCCCATAATTCTAGCACTTGAAAAGCTGAGGCAAAAGGACCACTCTTCTCTCATTTTTTGGTTTATCGGATATGTTTACTTTTTCCTGCAATTCTTTAACAATTGCTTAATTTCTGGATTTTTTGTTGTTATGATAGGGGTTTGCTTTGTACCCTAAGCTGACCTTGAACCTGTGATCCTTTTTGCATACAATTCTTTTTTTTTTTGGGGGGGGGTCCAGTCGTGGGGCCTGAACTCTAGGCCTGGGCGCTGTCCCTCAGCTCTTCAGCTCAAGGCTAGCACTCTACCACTTGAGCCACAGCGCCACTTCTGGCTTTTTTCTTTTTGTTTATGTGGTGCTGAGGAATCGAACCCAGGGCCTCATTCATGCAAGGCAAGTGCTCTACCACTGAGCCACCTTCCCAGCCCTGCATACAATTCTTGATAAAATGTACAAACTGGCTTAACAACAAAGGGTCTGATCTGTACATTCCAGGAAACATTCTCTAGATAATCTCAGAAGTAACAACAGTCTTCCCAATTCAAAGGAAAAATAGGCAACTTTTTCTCTTAATCTGTTAATAATAGCCAGCAGATGATAATGTTACAAAAATTAGAAGTAGCATTTTATAGTCAACTCCAAACAACTATTTTTGTCTTAGCTATAACTGGCTTTCCAATATTTTTTTAAACTTTATTATTTTTTTGTTTTGTTTTGTTTTTTGAGTCCAGTCGTGAGGCCTGAACTCTGGGCCTGGGCACTGTCCCTCAACACTTCAGCTCAAGGCTAGCACTCTACACTTGAGCCACAGCGCCACTTTCGGCTTTTTTTCTTTTTGCTTATGTGGTGCTGAGGAATCGAACCCAGGGCCTCAGGCATGCAAGGCAAGCGCTCTACCACTGAACCACCTTCCCAACCCCTTAAACTTTATTTTAGATGTGATGTTTGTTTGTTTGTCAGTCGTAGGGCCTGAACTCTGGGCCTGGGTACTGTCCCTCAGTGTTTCAGCTCAAGGCTAGCACTCTACCACTTGAGCCACAGTGCCACTTATGGCTTTTTCTGCTTATGTGGTGCAGAGGAATCGAACTCTGGGCCTCATGCATACAAGGCAAGCACTCTATCACTGAGTCACCTTCCCAGCCCCTAGATGTGATTTTTATAAATAGTTGTGATAATAGTCATTCTATAAAATGCTTTTTGCATTTCATTAAAGCATATGTGCTTATAATGGTCAAATTTCCTATCCCTAAAAGTGTTCCCAAATTGTGGAATGGAACCAAATACATACATACATGTGTGCATAGATACATACATTCTCCAAACATATATATATATATATATATATATATCCTATATTATGTATAACACATACACATACTTTTTAGCAAAACATCATGAGACCTCAAAGGAAAAAAAAGCAGCAGCCTAGTAAAATCTTAGTTATCTTTGGTATGTTGGCATATAAACTTCCAAATATACACATATAGAAGTATTCACCTCTGTTTTCTACTCCAGAAACTTTCAAAATAGACTAAGCTCTTTCATCCTTTGTTTTTCTAGAGGTATTTAAGCTCAGTCCTTTACGCTTCAAAGTCATTTCTCCAATACCTTCTTGAATTACTTTTTTTTTTTTGTATAGCACCCTATACAGAAACTCTGATTCATGATTATTTGGTTACCATCCCCATCTGTCACTAAACCAGTAGTTCTCAAACTTTTGGTACTATTCCATAATAATTGATCTTTTAGAGATCCATGCCACTTATACATACATAGCTAAGACTAAAACTTCAAAACTTAATTACAGCTTACTACATACAATGCATGAAATTTCCTACTGTATTTTTCCCTTTTACTTCCAGGGCAAATAAAAATAAAAATACAAACATCTCATCTGGCAAATACCCACTTTCTCAAGGCTTCAGATTATATGGTACAAGGAGTTTGTGCTTTTTTATTGTGATATTCAAATACCCAGTACCACATTTACATAATGTTGTCCAATCAGCATAAAAGGAAATAGCACTGAAACCAAAAATAATTGGGGGGGCAGGAGGGAAGAGTGTCAGTACCAAGGCTTGTAGGGGCTTTTTACTCTCAGCTTTCTTGCTCATGGCTAGTACTCTACCACCTAAGCCATACCTCTGAGTCTGTCTTTGTTGGTTAATTGAAGATGAACTTTTGCACTTTTTTGCAAATATCCATCCTCCAGGTCTCAGCCTCGAGCAGCTAGGATTACAAGGATGAACCACCAATACCAGGAAAAAGGTAGAGCAAATAATTTATAAGAAATCTATTTCCCTCTTTAAAAATAAATCAGTAATGGTGCTTAAACTCTGGGCTTGGGCACTATCCCTCAGCTCTGCAGCTCAAGGCTTGTGCTTTACCACTTGAGCCACAGCACCACTTCCGGTTTTCAGATAATTAATTGGAGATAAGAGTCTTATGGACTTTCTTGCCTGGGCTGGCTTTGAACTGTGATCCTCAGATCTCAGCCTCCTGAGTAGCTAGGGTTACAGGTATGAGCTACCAGTGCCCAGCCAAAAAAATTCTTTTTAAGATAAAGAAACAAACCACACAGATACAAGTTTATTAAGTTCCTCAATTCCTTTCCTTTAAGTTTATGTATAAAACTCAAAATAACTAATCCTACATCACTGTGAAATTTGATATAAAATTCTGCTCAGTGGACTGTAAAACTTAAAAGCGTATAAACACATTTTAGAAAGAATTTCAAAGATGGTCATAATGGAACATGTCTATAATCCAGAAGTACTGGGAATGTGAAGCTAACCTGAGTACACAGCTAAGAACTGATGGAATTTCAGTAAGAATATCTTGTGGTTAACCCAGTATTCCATAAAACAATTGAAATCCTAATTCAACAAGTTTTATTTACTTACTTCCAATAAAATTGGCAATTAATAAAATTCACAATGTTAGAACAGCATCACTCTTCTATTAAAGTGACTTCTCTCCAAAATAAACTTTATCATCACTTTTAAGACTTTGACTAGTGCTCTACATAGCTTCAACTTCTTTTTTGCCCCATATCATTGCTCTTATAAAGAAAAAGAGCCCAGGCCGGATGCCAGTGGCTCACGCCTGTAATACTAGCTACTCAGGAGGCTGAGATCTGAGAATCACAGTTCAAAGCAGCCCAGGCAGAAAAGTGTGAGGCTCTTATCTCCAGCTAACCACCAGGAAATCCTTG